ATATTTAGTAGAGGAATCCTTCTCCATTCAATCAAAAAGCACATCGAAAATTCCATTGACTTCATCTAAGTACAAATCTTCCACTTCTTTAATCAATGCTTTAATCCCATGTTCTGAATGAATGCTAGTATCAAGCTTTAGCTTTAGCAACCTTGAGGTGCTTTTGCTCCTTGACCATTCCCATTTATCTCCGATGACAATCTTATATCTCTCAAACTTTCAAACATCATATCCCTTGACAGCATCCAAGCCTCAGGAATTTGAATTTCTAAAGTAGTCAGGCTTGTCAAACACCCAAGCTCAGCAAGACTAGCACTTTCGTTTGCTTAGCTGGACTTTCCTCCTCCCCACTTAATTGAGGCATTGCCCATATAAAGTTCCTCTATGTTAGTCAACTTGGACAAAGTGTTGGTGGGATGATCTTAATTTAGACTTTGTCATATCCAACATTTTATATGAGTCAGTTGTCCTATTTCACTCGGGAACTCCACTATGTATGAACAAGAAACTAAGAATTTCTAAATTTGTCAAGTCACCTATTCCAGCCATATTTTTCAAAGCATTGATCCAAACAAACATGTTTTAAGTTTGGTCAAGAAAGAAGAGATATAGGCAGTGCAGGTATTATCAAGCCTGTCAAATCTAATGCTTCAAGATTCTCCATTCCCTCAAAAAAGTTGTCTGGAATTTTCAAAGTGCAATTATCAGTGCCACATAAGTAGAGAAATTTTAAATTGGGGCAGTCTAACTTTTGAGGAAGTTCTTGGATAAAACATAGTGTCAAGATTATCTGGGTACATCTTTCGAGAAAACCCTTGCTCGACCAATCTCGCACCTTGTCACCATTTCTTTTCAGCACGAAGACATATTCATTCTTATAAGCAATTGAAATAGCTACTTCACGAACAAGGTCATGCATTTTAATTGCTTCAGTCTCACTTGTATCATCATCAAGTAACAAACAGAATGCCTTCAAGGCATGAATTATTCTATATAATCGGTTTCTTGCATCTTCAACAGTATATGTGTGTTTCAGAACACCCAAACCAATTACATATTTCAACAAGTCACTAACCAACAGGGATGGTCCATGTACACCACAAAGCAAGAATACTTTCTTCATTTCATCATCTTCCAATCGATTGTAAGTAAATTCAAAAGCTGAAAAAACAGTCCCACGCATGTCCCCCTTATCAACTTGCTTTAAGTTGCTCAAGGCATCTTTCCAATAGTGAGTATTCTTATTATATTTTAATGAATTTGCAATTGAGACTATCATAACAGGCAAACCTGCACATCTTTCAACCACTTGAGTTGCTATCTTTTTCAAGTCACCATCTTCAACAGCATCACCAACCATATCTTCAAACAACCTCCATGATTCTGTATCATTTATTGTTCCAAGAGCAAAATCCTTTTGAGTCTCATTCTTATGTAAAATATCTAAACTTCTAGAAGTCAACAATAATTTGCAACCTTGACAAGTCTCATTCTTCTGTGAAATATCTAAACGTTGAGAAGGCAATGATGATTTGCCACCCTTAACATCCAGCTCAGAGGGAATTCCTAACTTGTCCAAATCAATTTCCTCCCATAAATCATCTAGTATAATAAGGACATTTTTTTCCATTTTTATCCTTCTACACAGGCGGTCGGCTCTTCCAATTGTGGTATTCTCATCCAAGTGGAAGCCAAATTGATATGCTATCTCGTCTTGAACCTTTTCAACATCCAATATTTCAGATATAGTTGCCATCGCCACCACATCAAATCGCTTTTCATCCTTAACATGTTTGGCAATATCTTTGACTAGAGTGGTCTTTCCAACCCCAGGCCAACCATAAATTCCAACTTTGCTTACTTTAGGGTCTATTAGAGACAACATAACCTCCTTCTTCAATGAATTTCTTGACTCAAGCTTTTCACTGCCTCGAGTAGCCAAAATTAAGCTTGCCATGCTAGATGCACGAACATACCCAACTCGACCCTCAAAATTCCCCTTTTCCTTTAGTTCAGCAACGTTGAATGCCATTTTCTTTGATTTTCTACCAAGTTGATGTCTTGATTTCAAGTTAGGAAAAGACCATTTCCAACACCGTACATTAGCTTGAGTCTGATCTTCATAAAGTTTTTCTACTTCTCCCATGGTCTCATCAACTCTTTCTTGCCATCTTTTTACATCAGCTTCAATCTCTCTGCCACTGCTTCTTTCTGCTTCAACAAGATGCTCGTTGCGAATTCTCTCTGTCTTCAACTCCTCAATTTTATCCTTTAGCTCCTTAAAATTTTCTTTGTAAAATAATAAATATCCCACTTGCCTTCCAATAGGTATCACAGTTAGCTCAGATATTTTACCAGCAATAGTAGTAAGAATTTCCATTGTTACTTCCTGAATAAAAAGACAAGAAATTTGTTTGTTGGATGAACAGAAGTCACAACAGATCAAAAGATAATGCCCGGCCCCTAGGGAAAAAAAAAGGACATATACACAATTGCTTGGCTTTAACTAATAGGAGATTGAGAGGCAGTATGACTATAAGTAGAAAATACGCAATCTCCCAAATTAGAATCCAAGCCGTCAATTCAAGTTTTGAAGGGTTCAATGAATTTGTCTATTATTCATGTGAGTATTTGCGTCTCTGTTTTTGTCTCTTCTTCCCGAAGAAGAATATGTGGCTTCTACCGGTGACAATGGCCTAAACTCCAACGCCATTGGAGCTCCAGAAGTGCCAGTGGAATGGGGAATTTTTTTTTTAAATTGGTCAAAGTAGAATTCATTTGAGGAGAAATTCTTGTGCGTTCCAGGAGCACCACGTCATTTATGGTCTGACAAATTAAAACCTGCCATGTCTTTAAACTTAATCTGAACTTTAACCTTAGCTGTAAGCGTTTTAATCTACTCGCCCGTCCCATATTATAAACAACAACTGTTATTTTATCTTGTCCCTAAATATAAGCAATTTTTAACAGTTGCCTTAAATTTTTCTAACAAATTTTCTGTTTTGCCCATGATAAATATTTGTTTTAATGTAATCTCCTTTCATTATATATTCTTTTTCTTTCATAATTCCCTCATTATACATAAGGGTATTTTGGAAAGAAAACATTTAATTTTTACACATTTATTGTTTTTAATTTTAACTATCACTTTAATTTATGTAATTTAGTTCAAGGTTGCTTATAATATGGGATGGAAGGAGTATTTGCTTAGTAATTTAATTTAACAATTTCTTTTAGAAAGTCGTCCTTATCTTCTTTTTTTTTCCTGACTTTTCTGCCCTTGTCGCCAGTCCGTCGTCGTCTTCTCCATTTGTTTTTCCAAAACTCCCTTTTTCTTCTTTGTTGTGTGTTTCTGCGCCAAGAACCACCATGTTTTTCCCCTCCTCTTCCCTCATTACCCTTACCTTCTTCATATTTATCCTCTCTCATCTCCGTCACCTTCACCCTCCAACTCCTCCCACCGTCACTTCCGCCCGCCCTACCTCATTCTTACAGTCAGTGAATCCGTCTAGTTCGCTTCTCTCTAATTGGAAGATTCCAACCTTTACATCAATAGCTCTTCCTTGTACATCCCGGCAATGTCTATCTCCTTCTTCAACTCATGCCCATCTTTTTTCCTCTTCAAGTTCTTGAATCTGGTTACTTCCTTCTCTAGATCCAAAGCATAAGGGAAAAATTGATATTCTTGAACCTAAGTCCACGATTTGAAATTTATGTTTGATTTGTTGCTTTTGTTTTGTGTTAAGCGAAGGGAGGAGGGTGCTGGACAGAGGAAAGGAACACTACTCTTCATCTCGTGGGTATGGATGGAGTCCATGGAGGAAAAAACTGGACAAACACAGAAGGTTTGCCAGGGGGAGCGAAGATGACGGAGGAAGGCAGAGAAGTCAGGAAAAAAGATGGGTACGAATTTCTAAAAGAAATTGTTGAATTAAATTACTAAACAAATATAGATAAAGAGATGATAAGTTTTTATCTGTCAAACTACAAAGACTACAAATAAGGTGGTGCCCTGGGAGCACACAAGAATTCCTCATATCCTGAAAAACTAAATTGTTTTAAGGAGTTAATTAACCTCAAACACTAATTTTTGGAAATTAAATGTAATAAATAGCTCATAAATTATTGTTAAGAACTCTTGTTGAATGTCTAAAGTGTGATAGTTATTTTATTTATTATTCTGAGATAATTAATCTTAAAATCCTTATCATTTCAATTACTCTTTTTATATTATAAGTAACAACTATCATCTTCTTTTTGTCTCTAAATATAATCAACATTTACAAATTGTCTTAAATTTTTGTAATGAATTCTCTATTTTATCTTCATTAATTATTTATTTTAATTTTCAATATATTTAGTATCTCATTTCTCAAACCATCATCTCTCAATCACACATTCTCTCTCTTTCAAAATTCTCTTTATTATAATAATTTTCTTATTCTCTTCTTTATACTCTCTCTCTAAATAAGAGTATTTTAGTGTCTTTTTACACATTTATTATCTTTAACTAATTTTACTTAACATTTTGATCTACCTGATGAGCTTTGATAAGCTCTAATGTTGTTTATAATATGGGACGGAGGGAGTAATTTTTACCTAGGTTTTGCTCATTTTTCATCAAGACTTTATATTTTTATATGTTTTTACTTTAGTTGGCTTCTTACAAGTTTTTTTTTCCTTTTAATTGTGTTTTTATAGTTTCAAACAATTTTTACTTAGCTCATTGAAGTTCTTTTATTCTTTATTTGATAAATTCTGATAACATTCTTCTATAAATATAAAAGATAATAATATTAATTATAAAATTATTTAATTGTACTCTATATATAATAAATTATTATAATAATTTTTTTAATATTATTTTTAAATTTTATGTTAAACATAATTTATATTTTTTATTTTATAAATTATAAGTTTTATTTATTCTTGTCATTATAAAATTTAAGTGATAATTACAAAACTTATAAAAATAATTAATAAATATTTCTATTATTTATTTTTACAATTATATAATTATTAATTTAAAATTATATTTCAATCTTATTTTTAATTAATTTTAAATTAATTTATAAAATATATAGACATAATTAAAAACATACGTAAGTATAAGGAAATGACTAAAAAATATATAAAGATCTGTTCAAAAATTGATTTAAACTATATCAGTTGCATAATCATTACTCCTTTAGGGCTTATTTGATTGGAGGGGAGGAGTGAGAAAATGAGAGAAAATTAAACCTCTCCTTTTATTTGGTTAAAAATTTTAAAAGGGAGGGAAGTCAAAATGTTCCCTCTCATTTTAGCTCCCCTCAAAATGGGATTTTTAAAGGAAACTAAATTTTTAGACTATTATACCTTTATGTTTTTTTAATATTCTACTGTTATCTATAAAATATATTATAATATTTATTTTAAATAAAAATATATTATCCTAAGTAAAAGATATAAATATAAATTATTATAATTAAAAAATATTATAAAAATTAATTAAAATTAAAAAAATTATAATATTATAAAATTAATTCCTTTTTATAAATATGTATTATTCTATTAAATATATTTTAAAGCTGAAAACAAAAGCATGACTTAAAGAGAATAAAATTTTATTTTTTAAGAACATATTAAATTTGTTAATTTGACTATTTTAAATATATTATTATAGTAATTAGAATGAAAAATCATTGTACCTATTTTTTAATGCACATATTAAGATGATAATACTAAATTTTTATTAAATTAGATAATTTATCATTAAGATGTAAATTAATTTATATAATATATCAAAAAAATATAAATTAATATGTAAAGGTAACATGATAAATTGATTATTACTATTTCTCATTCCCTTCTTTTGAATCAAATAAGAGATTATTAAATATCTCTTATTGTCTTTCTTTTTAATCAATCCAAATAAAATGAGGGTAACCCTCAGCCAAACTCCATCCTTCTCTCCCTATCTCCCTCCCCTACTCTTTCCTCAAACCAAGCAGGTTCCTAAGAAGATGATATATTGACTTAGTGATTATAAAAACTTTGGGATCCAACAGGTCATGGGATCAAGTCCTACTTTGACCAATTTTAGGGTGGCTATAGAGGCTGAAAAAAACTAGTCAAGCTGGCACATTTAGGCCTAAAAACTGCAAGGATTATGATTAAAATTTTTTCCTTCAAATAGGAAATGGATTTAAAAGGGATAGGGAAGACCAACCTGTTTAGATTTTTTTATAATTTTTTATATAATGCTAATATTATTAATTTTTTAAAATTATTAATGATATTTTAAATATTTAATTATTATTATCATTTTGAAATTGAATTTCATAAAATAGTTTGATTTATTTGGTTTTAGACAATAATTTGTTTAACTAAATTTTAAAAAAAGAGTTAATTTGAACTTTAATAATGATTTGACTTATATTATATATGTTGATATTTTAAAATTATATATATTTAATAAGAGAGTATTTTTATACCTATATAACTTGTTAGTCTATAATTTGAATTAAAAATTTATAAGTTTCAATAATAATATATCTCAAACTAAAATAACATAATAGCTACATTACAAAAATTAAAAGTAAAATTTTTATATAAAAGAAAAAATTGATATTTTTGACATTAAAAAAATGCATACTCATTAAAAAAGCAATTGTTGATAGTGACAACGAAGTTCAAAAAATTGATGATAATGTTTGTTACACTGTTGATGAAATTTTTTTGATATTATCTTGTTTATAGATGCTATTATCTAGTTAATAGATGTTTTAGATAGTCATTGGATATTGATGAATGTTTAGATATAATAATACTCTTTGTTTATAACTTAATTTTATTCATATTTAAACCTTTTATTATTAATTTTATTGCTTTATTTTTATTTTATTGATAAAACATACAAAAAATAAAAAAATAGTTTTTTTAAGCAGGTTAAAAGCCTATAAATCGGTCCTAAACCTGTCAGTTTAACGGTTGAACTTAGTAAAATGAAACATTTCTAAAATTTTGACACTGCAGGATTGGCCCATTTAAACCCGTAACCCTATAGAGCTAAGCCAACTCTTATTCTCTGTACTAGGCGGCGATGATGATGGCTAGCTGACCTTTTCTTTTTTAATAAGTGTAAGATCATATCGTAATAGCAGC